AAGGCTTACAAAATCATGACTCATGCGGACAGTTTTTTGAGCACATATTAAAACTATATAAATCATCATTTATGACACCATAACAATCATGCCACCATTAAATAAATTATAAAGTGGTGTCATTATGTCATTTTAAAACCATATCTAACTATACAAACCAAAAATTTCCATATGTCATGATTATATTCACTATGAAAGCCACCCCCCCTGCTCAAAGGGATAATATCCTCTCTCTTTCCTATTCTGGCCTCTCTGCTTGTCAAATTTCCTCTAGAACTGGAGTATCCAAGTCCACTGTGGCCAGGTTCATCAAAGAAAGTCACACAGACAAGGAAAACTTCTGTGAAGGGCATCCATCCAAGCTCACCTCTACTGATAGGAGGGCTATTATTCAACATATCACTACAGGAAAGGCTGATAATGCTGTCCAGGTCACCTATTACATCAATTCCACCATCACATTCCCTGTCTCTTCACACACTGTGAGAAACATTCTCAAGACAGCTCATCTCAGGTCAGTAACAAGGAAGAAAAGGCTCTCCTCTCTATCACACATATGCAGAGAGGACTAGCACCCTTCTTGTTTCACATATATACCTTGCCATCTGACCCAATCCTATTTATTGTGGTCTTATATGATCATATAACATGCTTCCAGTCCATGTAATCCAATTCTGATGGGCTAAGGCAAAGGTTAGTCATCTCTGCATATGTGTGATAGAGAGGAGAGCCTTTTCTTCCTTGTTACTGACCTGAGATGAGCTGTCTTGAGAATGTTTCTCACAGTGTGTGAAGAGACAGGGAATGTGATGGTGGAATTGATGTAATAGGTGACCTGGACAGCATTATCAGCCTTTCCTGTAGTGATATGTTGAATAATAGCCCTCCTATCAGTAGAGGTGAGCTTGGATGGATGCCCTTCACAGAAGTTTTCCTTGTCTGTGTGACTTTCTTTGATGAACCTGGCCACAGTGGACTTGGATACTCCAGTTCTAGAGGAAATTTGACAAGCAGAGAGGCCAGAATAGGAAAGAGAGAGGATATTATCCCTTTGAGCAGGGGGGGTGGCTTTCATAGTGAATATAATCATGACATATGGAAATTTTTGGTTTGTATAGTTAGATATGGTTTTAAAATGACATAATGACACCACTTTATAATTTATTTAATGGTGGCATGATTGTTATGGTGTCATAAATGATGATTTATATAGTTTTAATATGTGCTCAAAAAACTGTCCGCATGAGTCATGATTTTGTAAGCCTTGTATCTCCACCATATCTCCTCTGATTCTCACGATGTGGTGCTCAATCCAAAGCCCTGAAGCAGCACTACAATATGGTATTAGCATGTCACTGAGGTCTTTATGTATTCTCACACAATATTGTAAATAGTAAAAAATGCAAAAACATGTGGACAGTTTTTTGAGCCACTGTAACCTTGGACCAGGGAACAGAGTTCATATCCCACTTCTTCCAGTCCTTAGGAAAAGCATTAGATATGATCCTCCATTTCACATCCGGATATCATCCGGAAGGGGACAGACAAACCGAGTGTACCAATCAAACCCTAGAACAATACCTCTGGATCTAATGTAACTATCAGCAGGATAACTGGTTGGAACTACTCCCCTTGGCTGAATTTGCATACAACAATGCTCCGAGTGCTACCACTGGAGTCTCCCCCTTCTTTGCCAACAAGGGTTACCATCCGAACATGTCCATCCACCTGGAGTGTGACCTTTCCTCTGTCTGTGCACAGGAATATGCCATAGACCTCAATGAGCTTCACCAATTCCTCTGAGAAGAAATGACCCACACACAAGAACATTATCAAGGGTCTGTGGACACAAGGTGGATACCAGCCCCAGACTTCAAGGTTGGAGATCAAGTCTTTGTCAAAGCAAAGTACTTCTGTTCCATTCGCCCCTCCAAGAAGCTCTTGGAAAAGAACTTAGGTCCTTTTGACATTATATCCTGTCCCAGATCGCATTCCTTCACCATCTGACTCCCGGATTCCATGCGCTCAGTACATCTGGTCTTCCATGTCTCCCAACTAGAACCCGCAGTTCCAAACACCATCCCTAATCATATCCAACCACCCTCACCTCCAATAGAAGTTGATGGAGAACCAGAATATGAGATATCCGAAATCCTAGACTCTAAGTTGGACTGCCAGAGACAACAATGTCAGCTTCTCTACCTTGTCCGGTGGTCTGGATATGAAGGGACAGATGAAGAGACGTCCTGGTTACTAGCCATGGAACTTGGAAACGCATCAGACCTAGTTTCAGTATTTCACTCTTCATATCCAGACAAACCTGGTTCAATTGCATTACAATGAGTACAAAATCAGATACAAGTACATTAGGGGCAGAAGCAGAAATCCAGAGCTCCTCATCCATCAGTCTCCATGTCCCCTCCAGATCCTCCAGCCTCCTCCTCAACATCCTTGTCAGCATCATCCAGAGTAGAGGTGTCTGCAATCTGGAATCCATTCCAGATCCCCTCCAGGAGGATGGACTGGAAGTCCCTCTGCTACTGGATGAAGTCCTCCATGTTAGTATTCATCTGCTCCATCACCAACCTACTCCCTTCTGCAGCTCCAATACTCTCCTGGAGAAGTCCATTGGTCTGGGCCAGTTCCACTACTATGCTGTTGGCAGCAGCAACCCAGGCCTGGTCATCATACTCCACACTCCCCTCATCTGTCTCTATTCTGGTCCATGGATTGGAGGCATCCTCCACTTTCAGTTCCTCAGGGGTAGGGCTCTTCTGATGTCTCTTACCCTTGGATTTCAGAGATGGAGTCACCACAGCATGCTGCCTCTTCCACCTCGGTTCCCTGGGCTTGTCCGCACTTCCGGGACAGGAGGCCCTATTGATCCTGCAGACATTGCAAGACTTGATCTATCCGGACATCAGTACACCCAGTTCCAGATGTCCGAGACAAGGAATATCTCACCAGTGCATTAGACTTAGCATCCTCCCAGGAGCACACCTTGCTCTTATTGACACAATGAGTGCAGGGTGCATCCAGTGGCTCAAAAAACTGTCTGCATGTTTTGACATTTTCACTATCTATGATATTGTGTGAGAACAAACAAATGCCTCAAGGACATGCTTATACCACATTGTAGTATGGCTTCAGGGCTTTCATTTGAGCCCTACACTGTGGGAATTGGTGGAGATATGGTGGAGACATAAGGCTTATAAAATAATGACTCATGTAGACAGTTTTTTGAGTGTATATTAAAACTATATAAATCATGAAGTAGTGTCATTATGTTATTTTATGACTATATCTAACTATATAAACCAGAATATCTCATGTATCATAGTCATAACCACCATGAAAGCCATCTCCTCTGCTCAAAGGGATAATATCCTCTCTCTGTCTTATGCTGGCCTCTTTGCTCACCAAATTTCCTCTAGAACTGGAGTATGCAAGTCCACTGTGGCCAAGTTTATCAAAGAAAGCCACCCAGACAAGGAAAACTCTTGTGGAGGATGTCCATCCAAGCTTACCTCTACTGACAAAAGGGCTATTATCCAACATATCACTACAGGAAAGGCTGATAATGCTGTCCAAGCCACCCATTATATCAATTCCACCATCACTACCCCTGTCTCTTCACAAACTGTGAGGAATGTTCTCAAGGCAGCTCATCTCAAGGCAGTAACAAAGAAGAAAAAGCCTCTTCTCTCCATCAAACATAGGCAGAGAAGACTAGCCTTTGCCTTAGCTCATCAACACTGGACTGTAGAGGACTGCAAGCATGTTATATGGTCAGATGAGACCAAAATCAATAGGATTGGGTCAGATGGGAAGGTATATGTATGGAAAAAGAAGGGAGATGGCCTAACAGACAGAGAGGTTAATGGGACTGTCAAGTTTGGAGGAGGTTCTTTAATGGTATGGGGCTGTATGGGATGGAATGGTGTGGGAATGCTTGCTGAGGTTGAGGGGAAGATGAATGCTGAGCAGTATGTGGTCATTTTAAATGACCACTTGCTGCCTAGCTTGGCAGAATCAGGGATTGATGAAGAAGATATCATTTTCCAACAGGATAATGATCCCAAGCACACATCCAGAAGAGCTAAGGAATGGTTTGAAGAACATAACATTAATGTTCTTGACTGGCTAGCACAGTCTCCTGATGTCAATGTCATTGAACATCTCTGGGGAACACTCAAGAAAAAGCTTCAAGCCTATGAAAACCCCCTAAAGGAGTATGGGAGCTTTGGGAGAGAGTAGCAGTGGAATGGGGGAAGATCACAGCTGAGGATTGCCAGAAATTAATTGAGAGTATGCCTAGAAGGATAGAGGCAGTAATTAAAGCCAAGGGAGGTCATACAAAATACTAGAATACCTGGTTATTATTGTAAAATACTTGAGTCAAAAAACTGTCCGCATGAGTCACCATTTTGTGAGCCTTGTATCTCCACCATATCTCCACCGATTCCCACGGTGTAGGGCTCAAATGAAAGCCCTGAAGCCATACTACAATGTGGTATAAGCATGTCCTTGAGGCATTTGTTTGTTCTCACACAATATCATAGATAGTGAAAAATGTCAAAACATGTGGACAGTTTTTTGAGCCACTGTACTTACCAATAGACCATCCATATGCTTTGTACATAGCCTTGGACTCTGCTGATTGATCATTCCGTTAGATACCTATAGTATATAACCTCCTGTAACCCTCTGTAGTACCTCAGTTCAAATATCAACTTAGTTCTGCTACTCTCATTACCCTCCGAGACTTAGGATTGATTCCTATAGTCTATCCCCATCCACCTCTGTCTATGACAGCCATTACTGCTAGTTTCTAGTCTGGACTCGTCTGGATTAGTCTTATAATACTTATCCCTCATCCAGAAGTCATCTGGATCCACTATGCTACCTGTCCGACCCTCTGGATGTGTTAGTCTTGCCTTCCTGAAATAAGGGACAATACTCAAGTAAGGGGCACAGCACATGAGCTGAGGCCAAAGCCCTTAGGATCTGTTAACCCTTGAGTACGACCTTAACACTACCTTTGCAAGATGCTCATAAATGATGTTGACCACCTCCACTGCACGGGCCTTAATAGTCTCCATAAGTTTCATGCAGTGAGGCACATCACTTTCAGCAAGGGTGGGGCAGACATAACAAAGTAAGTTGCAGAAGGCTGGTTTGTTGATGAGCTGCAATGCCTCATCCTCGGTCACAACAAGCTCCATGATATACTCCAGAAGCCCTGCCTTGGTAAACATGGGCGCTTTCAGGGCAAGGCTGCTATCAAGGGTGGATTGCCTTGAACTATCTATGAATCAGTACAACACACTACAATACAGCAAATGTAACTCACAGGGATTGAACCTCACCAGTTGGAACTGCTTGAGGGTGCATGGTGATGTTTGCGGCTTCACAGCGTGATTTGTAAAGTTGAAAATGGCTTTTATTACTGATAGATATATCATATCAGTGATCATTCAAGAGAAAGAAGACATGAACATACTGACAAATGTGCATGCATAGTGTAGAGATACCTCCACGAAAGATGTACTTGCAAGGTTTGCAGACCCAATGTTTGTTGTCATAGTGAAGATGGTTCAAATATCAGTGGTGTGCTCACTCTTTGATAAAGTGGCTCGGATGGTGGTGTCTTGAAGATCTTCAGGTTCGTCCTCAGGCTCGTCCTCAGGTGCTGGTACATCTTCATCCTCAGCCTCATCCGATTGACCAGCACCAGGATCAGGATCAGTATCAATATCTGTGTTGGCACCAGCCACATGAGAGCCTTCATTGTCAGATAATGGAGCAGAGAGCTGTAACATAACCTTTTTCCTAACTAGTTGCTCAGTTGCACTGGATAATGCACACTTGCGGCTTGTTGAAGAACAAGCATTGTTGGCATCATGAAGGTGCACAGAAGGTTTAGAGGTGCAAATGGAGTGTCAAGCACCTGCAGTAAGTGGCACCAGTTTGCATCCAGTCTGCAGTAGCACAGAGAAGGTGACTGTGGGAGTAGTAGATGATGGTGGCTGGGCAGAGGATGGAGCAGAAATGGGGACAGCATCATCAGGATCATTGTAAAAGGTGATGTCTTTGGCATCCTTTAGAGACCCATCTGGGTTGAGGGCACACTGTGCTTCAGATTCAGACATTGTACCAGTAGTCAAAATATATCACTCACCTTGCTCCCTTTATATGTGAATACCAAATCTCCTACTAACTCATAGTACACATTGAAGGATCCTAAAAAATATATCAATATAATATATCAATCAGTTCATTGCACTTGATTTGACAGAAAAGTCATACCTTGAGCTTGATTGGACAGGTAGGCTTTATTGGACAGCAGGGTGTGCAGGATGCAAACCTCTGGACAGAATAAGTCAAAACAAGTCTTGAGGAGGCAAATCTTGAGGATTGAGAAGTCAAAATGACCATACACATGTGCTTGAGCCTTGAAGGTGTTGCAAGGAAGATTCAGTTTGGGGTTCAGAATGGTTTGGGAAGGTCCGAACCTATGGATGAACCACACAGGAGTTAGCAGACCATGAACCTTGTTCTGGTTCAGTCCATGCAAAATGCTAGACCATGGACTGAACCAAGGACAAACCTGACCAATGGTCAGGTTTGAACTATGGTTCGGGGCCAGACCACAGCAGCACTAATCATATGGTGATACAGGACCTGAATTCGCCATAACTTTTTGTTTGAAGTAGAAGTGACACACAGGAACAAGTGGACGAACTCAGATGGCAACTAGACAAAAGGAATGTATACTTCAGTCTCATGCTAATTGAGCAGCTGACTATAAACTAACCTAGGCGAAAGGAATATAAGGTATAAATGAATGTCTCACCTTCAGTCTCATCAGGAAAAACCTCCCCTGCTTAGTGATGTTCCAGCCTGGCTTCAAGCCCCAGGCCAGCCAAAGCCAGGCCAAGCCCAGGCCCAGGTGATGGCCTGACCAGGGCTTTGGCCTAGGCTTCAGTTTTGCAAAGCCTAAGCCACCAGCCCAAGCTGTGGCTTAGAATTATGTAAGTACTGCGCAGGAGCCTCATTGTCAACTCTATTTTTGTCATTTTCTTGCTTCTCTTTAGTTCTCACTTCCTAGTCCATCATACTGTAGGGTATGTCAGAATGACACAGTGAGTTGCCATTGTCATCTTCTTTCAAAGCTCTCACTAATACTCACCCTGGTGACAGAAAAACAGACATCACCTGCCATATCATATTGTGCTGTTTTCAGCAATCTATGCACCTCTCAAGTCCTACTTTGTGCTGCAGCTTTGTGAGCTTGATGGATTCTTGAACAAGTTTCAGTCGTTTATAAATGGTATGTGTGTGTATTTTATCTGTGTAGCTGCCTGCAATGACTGGCATGACTGGTGCAGTTCTCACCAATGGCAAAGATGAGCCACATGTTGTGTGTCCCATACACAAAATCAAACCCACTGCTGCCCTCCTTCAACACTCAGAGAAAGTGGCTCTTCCCTCCCAAACAAAAGCTATCAATGATTTCCATGCAGCTGAGGCTGCCAAGCATGCTTCAGAGGTTTCTCAGCCTGCTGCACTCACACCACCTGTACTAGCCACACAATTAGCACCTCCCCCATCCAACAAACATGTGCATCCTGATGATGCCCCCAATAATGCCCTTGATGATGATGAATCTGGTGATATGGAGTGTGAGAATGCTCATGTCAACCCTAAGTGTGCTAGAAGGAAGTGCAAGTCCCCAGAGAAGTCCCCAGAGTTAGTTGATGAAGATGTGGTTCTCATTGATGTCGATGTCTCTATTGCAGACCCAGGGTCATCTCAGGAAGGCAAAACTGCTGACGTTGACAACTTCTTCAGTGCAGCATTCAAACATGCTGGTGCCAATGGCAAAGTGAAGAAGCACAGAAAGTGCAATATTTGCCTGTAAGTTTGGCTTTGCACTGTAATAGTACCTACTCACTCAATCATTTGTAGGAAAAAATGTATTCTCATCAACAAAGCCACTACCCTTCATTGTCATGCCAAGGCACATTTTGGTGGCAAGTATCAGAAGTGGGCAAGTGAACATTTGTTTGAGTCCATGTTACCTGGTGACATCAAGGCTCACAAGGAGAATGCTGTGCAGCAACAAATCAATGTTCATCTCACCAAACGCAAGCTTGATGAACAAGTCATACCATACTCCGATAAGTTGTTTAAGCAAGCTGCCATTGAATGGCTTGTTGTTACAATCACGTCTACCCCTATTCCATTTTCCTCTTTACTTGTGTATTATGTCCTGACTGCACCTCATCACGCCATCAGTAGACCAGTCTCTTACCATATCTGTATTACATCATGATCGCCGCTGCCGTCGCTAGATGACTCATCCTTATCTCTGACTCGTCTTGATGACGCATACCCTTATCTCTGACTCGTCTCAATGACGTGTACATACCTGCCCTAAAGTAGACTATGTCCATATAAGCTCAGCTTTGTACTTAGCAGATCTTCACTTTAATCTACTAGGTTCTCACCTGAAACATCCTTCGCTTAGGACCCCCAATCCTAAGTCGTCTGATACCGATATTCAAGTCAGAGACACTCTCTCCGACTTGTCTTAAGAAGCCTTACATTTGTGAGGTCTTGACTCAATCACAGACATTACTCTTATCGAGTATCTGTCGTTGCGCCCATCCTAGTTCACCATAACAAAAGATTAAAGTCACCCATCGACCCTCTCCATCAGAGAGGTTACCTATCCAGAAAGAATCAGAGAGAGAACGAGAATGTTCCCCTGAACCAAGAAGACACCACTTGACCAGACGTTCAGGATGTCCACCGTCCCCAACACCCCAGAATTGAAGGCCAGAGCTCCATCTACTTACGATGGGAGTCCTCACCAGGCTCTGCGATGGTTGTATGCGGTTAAAGTGTATTTCGCACTTAACACCACAATCTACAACACTGACGAGAAGAAGGTTATCACCACTCTCACATATATGACAGAAGATAGTGCTATGGGTTGGGCACTCACTTTCTACACTGAAGTCGACAACTCCGCTTTGAAATCCTATGGAACCTTTGTGAACTTTGAAACCAAGTTCAAAGAAGCCTTCGTACCAGCCGATGCTATCAGCACCGCCATGAATAAACTCAGAACGTTGAGACAGACGGGCAACCTAACCTCCTACATCGCCAGCTTTAAGACTCTTGCTGCACAAGCCTGTGTTAAGCAAGACGCCATCTTAATCACGTTCTTCAATGACGGATTGAAGAAGGGAATCATCAACTCTGTCTTTCAGATGGAGACTATCCCCGTAGACTTTGATAAGTACATTGCTGCAGTCATCAGACTTGACAGCAATTACCAGAGGGGTGCTGCATACCGATCAAATCATCGAACCACCACCAGACCAACGGGACAATGTTATGTACCCAGACCATCCATTGATCAACATGATCCGAACACCATGGAAGTAGATCGGCTCACTGACACCGAAAGAAGTGACCATATGAAGAAGGGACTATGCTTCACATGTCACCAGAAGGGACATCTTACTAGAGCATGCCCACAGAAGAAGAAAATTCCTGTTCGCTGAGAAGAGATGAGCGACAGTGAAGAAGAAGAAGATACAATGATCCGTCGCCTCACTGAGGATTTTTGATGTGGAAGACCGGATCGACGTCAGTATCTTCCAATGTACCTATCAGACTTGTACAAAGTATTGGAATCAGAAAGGAACTTTGCATTCCCATTTCCCTCATCTCCAAAACTCGTCTGAAAACTGTCGAAACAACAGCTGTTGTTGACTCCAGCACCACCGGAACCTTTATTTCTGAAGAATTTGTCAAGACACATGGCATTCGAACGCACAAACTATCAAAACCATTCTGAGTTACTACTGCGGATGGAAGTTATGCAAAAGGGGGCGCTATCACTTGATACTGTGTCCTCATTGTCAAGATAGACAAACGATCCATGATTGGAAAGTTTAATATCACGTGGCTTGGCCGACATGATCAGATCTTACTAGGGATCCCTTGGCTACGTGCCATGGACCCAGTAATCCGATGGAAAGCAGAAATGCTGGAACTCCCCAGAACAGAGAAAAGTGATCAGATTGAAGAAGAAGTTGATAATGAACGAAAGAAGAATAGACTTCCCCCCTTATTCCGAAAAGCAGAAATGAAGAACAAGAAGACAAACCCGATTCCAGTTGTAGTGCTGCCAAAGGCGCCTCCTGCAGAATTGGTTATACCATCCAAGGAACCAACACCCCGGGCCACTATCAAGGAAATCCCTGATGAAGAAGCCTTACCAGCGCTGCCTAATCTCGACCCTATCCCTGATGACGATGATGACTCTTTCAACACAAAAGAAGATGTATGGACAATGGACTACACACCACCCATATGCGAGATTTCTACTTATCACTTAGAAGATGATGAATTCTTGGTTGAATATCCCGTTGACGCCTCCGAGCTCCAGGTAATTACCAACGTCTCTATGGACATCCCTTTAACCAAGGATGGTACCAGTATCGCGGAACTACGACCTACAATCACACCTCTACCACGACCTGCTGAATATGTCAAAACCAGTAACAAAGCGCAACAGTTTGCGCTAGCCACTGGGCTCGAGCAGAAGAAGAAATCTTTCGAAGAGCTTGTCCCTTCCTACCTTCACGACTTCACCGATATCTTTGCGAAAGACGGTCTAAATCAGTTACCACCTGAATGACCTGGTATAGATCACTGGATAGAAACTAAACCTGGTTTCATCCCCAAAACGTCCAAGGTGTACCTGTTATCAGAAACAGAACGCGTGGCAGTCAAGGCATTCATTGACGAAAACGTAAAAAAGGGATTCATTTCTGAATTGAAGTCGCCGCAGGCCAGCGGTTTCTTTTTCGTAGGAAAGAAAAGTGGAGACCTCCGTCCCTGTCAAGACTACTGGTACATCAACAAATGGATGGTCAAGAACGCTTACCCACTTCCACTACTGCTTTCTTTAGTCGCTCAGTTACATGGTGCCAAATATTTCACGAAGATGGACATTCGCTCAGGATATAACAACATCCGTATTCACCCAGAAGATCGGTGGAAAGCCACCTTTACCATGGAGTATGGCCTCTTCGAACCAAACGTCATGTTTTTCGGCCTCTGTAACTCCCCCGCTACCTTCCAAGCATACATGAATAGAATGTTTCAACAGGAGATCAATGAAGGATGGCTCATCACATACATGGACGACATTCTAATTTTCTCTGATGAACTCACTTCTCATCACGAATGAACTCGGTGTGTCCTTGAAAGAATTCAGCAAGAAAAACTCTTCCTCAAGCCCAAGAAGTGTACATTTGATGCTCAAGAAGTAGAATACCTCAGGATGATAATCCGCCCTGGATGTGTGGCAATGGATGACGCCAAGACCAATGGTATTCAGGATTGGCCTACCCCTATGACCGTGAAAGAAGTACGGTCATTCTTGGGGTTCTGCAATTTCTACTGCAACTTCATCTCTCATTATTCCGACATCGCGCGACCCCTGATTGACCTTACCAAGAAAGATGTCAAATTCCTTTGGTCAGACAGATGCACGTCTGCCTTCTCCACACTAAAAGAGTGCTTCTTGAAGCAACCAGTACTTCAGAACCCTGATCCCAGCAGACAGTTCGCAGTTGCTACCGATGCATCCCTTGTTGCTACTGGAGCGGTGTTGCTCCAAACCGATGATAATGGTGTTTATCACCCATGTGGATATTTGTCACAGACTCTAAATCCCGCAGAATGAAACTATCAGATTTTCGATCAAGAACTCCTCGCGGTTATTCGTGCCTTAACCGAATGGCGCCATTACCTGGAAAGCAACCCTCATCCTGTTGTCGTCTTTACAGATCACAAGAATCTCCTGTATTTCAGAATGGCCCAGAAGTTAACCCGCCAACAAGCCAGATGGCAATTAATATTGTCATGTTATGATATCGAACTCCACCACATCACTGGAACTAAGCTTGTCACCCCCGACGCCCTCTCTCGCCGCCCTGACCATGGTTTAGATTCCTCAGAAGATAATGTCAATGAAACACTCCTTCCCGACTCTATGTTCGTTCGACTTCTCGATGTTGAACTCATGACCACTCTTGCAAACCCTGACCCCTCTGACCCCAACCCCATCTTCACCGCCACTTCTGATGCGTTGGATGGCCTTTCTCTCCCCCCAATGAAATCCGCCCTCGCAGATTGGGCGATTAAGGACAATATTCTTTATTATAAAGACCGCGCCTATGTCCACCCCGCCGGGCGGCGTCTTATTTTAGAATGATGTCATGATCACCCCACCGCCAGTCATCCTGGACGTTTTAAAACTGAGGAATTGGTCAAGCAGGACTTTTGGTGGCCCTCTATGGGAACCTATATCCACAAACACGTGGAAGGCTGCGCCCTTTGCCAGCAGATGAAATCCGATACTCACCCGACGACCCCCCCCCTTGTCCCAATCCCTTCTGTCGCCGCAGCTCCCTTCACCCAGATCTCCGTTGACCTTATTACCGACCTTCCCCCATGCGCCGGTTTTGATTCTGTCATGGTCATGGTAGACCATGGGCTTACGAAGGGGGTAATTCTTATTCCATGCACTAAAACCATCACTTCCGAAGGGGTTGCCAAGAAATTCTTTAAATATGTCTACCACT